GCGAGCATTTACCGAAACCCAGGCCGGAACGCACCAGCGGAGCCGCTGCGATCATGCGTTTTTGCATCAAACTTGAATTAGGTTAACTGCGTGAATGGTTACTTCTTCACACCTATCTTGTGCGCCCACTACTGTAAATCATCGTAAATTTTGCTTAAAAAGAAATAAGCGATTTCTGCTTAGCGATTTAACAGTCTAACAATTTCCACCAAAAAATTTCACGGGGCCGCACGCAAAAACTGTGCGTGCCTGGGCGCTGAATTTGATAGGTTTATTTTGTACTTATGCTAGGGACATCCCTTGAAAATTTCAGCCTCTCAGCTTTTCTAATTCCCGATTTAGACACTTTCCCGCCGAAAAATCTCATAGGGCCGTACTTGAGAACGACGCACGATTGGGGATGAATTTGATGATTTAAAGTCGTACGTGGCCTGGGAGCATTCCCTGAAAATTTCAGCTCCCCAGCTTTGCTAGTTTCTGAGTTAGCCATTTTCCCGCCAAAACTTCTGCTTCCTCATACGCGGGGCCCAGACTTGCTTGAGGGTTGGTGCCGCGTTTCTGGGGTGGCAATTGGCCGGGGGATCTACCAGCAAAATCTTGGCACTGGAGCTTGCTTGGTTGCCGAATTGAAATACTCGGACGGGCGAACACACACACACACACAAACATACACACACAGACAGGGTCTCGCAATATGCGTTTTTGCAACTTGCATATAGGCAAAAACGCATAAAAACAACCGGGCTTCATGCAAAAAACTGATAATCATGTTCCTGAAGGCCGTACAGCTCTATAATGTACCACTTTCATCCCATATGTGCCGGAAGGAGCCAAAGCACGGCCAATATGAGCCCAAGTGTTAGACTACAGAGCGGTGATCATTCCTATATTAGCAACTTGCGAGTTTAGTGCAAAAATACATGATCGCACCGACAGGCCTGGTGCGTTTCGGCCTGGATTCTTAATGTCGAATTTCCCGTCATGATTTCTTGAGTTGTTCAGACACGACAAATAAAACAATCAGTAAAATTTTACATGGGATGTGAAGCAAGTAAATCGCGAACAGTCATCACTGCGTACAGCAAATGGTTCGGTCAGCGCAAGTATCATTAGGTCAGTAATAAATCCTAGAAACGCTATCGAAGCAACCCACAATACCGATTTTCTGAAAGTGCACATTCTCAGTGTTCAAGAGTTTCTGGATGTTTATTACGCCTTATTGCTTTTTAGGAGTGGTAATGATCAAAATGAGGTGTTAGTGATCAACACATACATCAAAGATATCCTGAAACAGCCAGCACGTTGTCAATAGCTTCTACCGGGTGAATCTTTGTGATGGTAATCCGTTTAGGAGAAACACAGGCTGGAACGCACCAGGCTTACGGATGCGATCGTGCGTTTTTGCACCAGACTTGAAGT